AGTGAGGAAGGAATGTAAACACCCCCCAGAGGTTATGATGAAAAATATTCACTGAGACGAAGTGAGAAAGCTGTTAAATTTCAGTGTATGATATGTGGGTTATATGGCAATCAAATAAAAATTTTAAAATCTGTTAAATTTCTGTACAACAAAATGAAAACAGTAAGCAATTTAAAAAATCTACACGTACGGGAAAAGGGAATTTTCCTTACTCATATAGTTCAAACCGGACAACCAAACTCGCTGCCATCGGGTCAATTCTGACTCACGGGGACCTGATAGGACAGGGCAGAACTGCCCTTCTGGGTTTCTGAGACTCTAAATGGTGACGGGAGTAGAAAGCCCCATTTTCTTCCACGGCGTGTCTGGTGGTTTTGAACTGCAGACCTTGTGTATCGCAGCCTAAGACATCACCACGACACCACCAGGGAGCCTCATGTAGGTTAGTTAGGGAAAAATTGGAAACACTAGTTGTTAAATGAAGAATCTGAAAAACATCATAGACTCCTACCTAGTTAAGGTGTCAAAGCTGGTTAACACCGCTAATGTTCCAAGAGAAGCATTAAAACATCGACGAGGTCATTTTTTAAACGATGGCAGGTGCTAGTGTCCCCTAGACCTCTGTACCAGCCATCGGCACTGTTAGAGAGGTAACAGAAGTACCCAAACCAACAGAAACTCTCTTCTTCTGTCACACACACACACACACACACACACACACACACACACACACACACGATAAGGAGGCCCGGTGGTACAGTGGGCTGCTAACTGCCACGGTTGGGGGTTCAAACCCACCCTCTGCTCCTCTTCCAGAGAAAGCAGGGGCTGACTCCTCCTGTAAAGATTTAAAATTTTGGAAACCCTAAGGAACAGTTCTATGTTGTCCTACAAGGACAGTGTCACTATGAGTCAGAATCAACCCAGGAGTGGTGACTGGGTTATATTATAGATGGAGGTTTAGATTTGCTCCTGTAAAGAACTACAGCCTTGGTGACCTTACAAAGGGTCACTGAGTCAGAACTGACTCGATGGCAGTGGTGGGTATGTTTGTGCACACACACACACACACAATATGTATACATATATGCACATGAAACATTTACATACAAACATCAAAACAACAACCCCAAAGCCCATTCTGACTCAGCTGCCCTCCACGCGGGAGCTGAATCGTCCCACAGGCTTTCCTTCACTGAAGCCAACTGTTTCCCCTGGAAGAGCGAGCGGGTGGGTTTGAACTGCCAGCCTTTCGGTCAGCAGCCAAGTGCTTAACCACTTGTGTCACCAGAATGACACTCGTATATATGTGCACACGAGAAGGCTTGAAGAAGTGCACAGAACAATGGAGTTTTCCACAGACTTTTTGAAGCTCCTTCATATACATATACATATACATCACCACATATACAAACCCAATCTCCCCTGGTTAGCTTTTCCAACATCTGCAAACCATCTGCAAACCATGGGTCTGAAAACCAAACCCGACTCACTGCCCGAGAGTCCATGCTGACTCCTCGTGACCCTATAGGACAAGGCAGTCCCGGGAGTTTCCGGGACTGTAGCTCTTTCCAGGGGCAGGAGGCTCCGTCCTTCTCCGTAGGAGAAATAAGGCTGACAGGGCAGGTGTGGCCAGAAGGTGCATACTTGGTGACGCTCTCTCGCACACACTTCAGGTAAGTGTTAATTAACACAAGACGACAGTTTCCTTGAACATGACACCCCAAGACCTGGACCACTGCTGACCTCGCCCCTGGCACCCCTCCCTTCACTGCCGGGGCCCACTGTCAAAGTTTTGGGGACAAAAGATTTTACATCATTTCCCAGCGACCAGATGAAAGGCCAAAAGATCCCCACTTTGCAAATGGTTAAAAAACAAGAACTATGATTAAGCAAGTGCCTAAAGTCACAAGACAAGATTGTGATGCTTCAAATGCTCATTTTTTTGTTTCAAGACCAGGAGATATTTTTGGTGAATGATATATATGAGTCGAAATCAGTTTGCAAGCCATCATGTTTTGTTTTTTTTAATCACGGTGCAGGGAGAGGATAGCTCTGCTCACATCGTTAGGGGGGAAAGCCTTACGCTAATAAAAGGGCTCCTCCGCGGTGGGGCTCGGCTCAAAATAAAGACATCATAACCTCATTCAGATGCCAATCCCAGCAGAAGGAGGTGAAACTTCAAGAGGGTGAGCACCTCACTGATCAGCAGCACGACCGCTTCCACTGGGCACAGGTCAGAAAGAAGGCAACCCAGAGCCCAGGGCAGGGTGAAAAGGCACTTTGAATTAAAACCAAAAATGGAGGAGGGGAAGTTCAAAATGAATAGACACACGCACACGGGGAACACCCGGGGAAGTGAGATTTGCTTACAAAAGCACAAGCCCTCTAACTCTCCCCGTCCCGATGCGTCTTTGCCCAAACCTACCCGCGCTGAGGCCGAGCAGGAGCCCCAGGAGCCCCAGATCGCGAAGCCTCCACGGCACCAGTTCCATGGCGAACACCTTGCCGCAGCCGCAGCAGCAACAGCAGCAACAGGCTGAACCCCGCGCCTCTTCACGTGACAGCGGCAGGCGCGGCCTGAGCCCGGGAGGGCCGGGGGCGGGGCCTGGGGCCGGGGGCGGGACCATGGGAGGGCGGGGCGGGGCCCGGGCGGAGCGGCTCTTTGCATATTGCGAGCCCTCTGCTGGACGGAGGACTGGCTCCGTAACCCACCTCTGTATCCTTCATTCCGACTCAGCCAATACACGCAGGGTTTCTAAGGTTGTAAAAGAAATCCTTAAAGGAGCCTCATCTTCTCCCCCAGAGCAGCTGGTGGGTTTGAACTACCGTATTTGAAGTTAGCAGCTCAACGCTTACCCTGCAGCACCCCTAGGGCTCTTTAGAACTACTGACCAGCACCCTTGAAAGGTGCTGGAAGCAATTCTTGTCCGACTTCCTGTTCTTTGCAAGGTCGGGGACAGATCCGTGAGTCAGAGCTGAGCGTCCTTGAAGGTTAGTACCTGTGAGTTTGGCCTGAGGGCACAGGATCAGTAGCTGTGACCAGGTCCAGAGACTGAAATCGAACTCACTGCAGTCAGGTCAAATTCTGACTCCTAGCGACCCCATAGGGCAGATGAGAACGGTCTCTGTGGATTTCCGAGGCTGTAAGTCTATAAAGCAGAAAGGCTAGCTGCTGGCCGGGCTGGAACTGCTGACCCTGCGGCTAGCAGCACACCCAGCCCTGCAGTAATCTGAAGGACCCGTACCTTTCACCAATCTTGTACTCCCTCTTCTGGGTCATCCCCCTGCCCCTGCCGAGTGCCCAGGTAGATACCCTTTCTTTGACTCCCGATTGTCTTTTTGTAACTCTTAGTTCCCGCTCTACCTGTACAAAGTGTATTTGTTGTCGCTGGATAATGACAGTTGTTTTTTCCCTTCTGTCCCCTGATAACCTGCTGTAAACGTTGTGTTCTGGATCATGTCTGCTACAGGGATCCATTGCAAAGATTTATTGATCAGGCCTTGCTTCAAGACCCTTCACATATAAGCCATCACTTCCTGCATCTGTTGTGACCAAAGTGGTTGTCAAGGAGACGTCTAAATTCACAGAGTGACAGTGGCATTGCGACTCTGTGAACTTAGATGTGTTTCTGGTCAGAGCCATCACTGTCTCTCAATAAGCCTGTGTTGCTTTTCCTTACAGCAAACTCCTGAATGATTCCCTAGGAGAGCCCCGGATCATTTTAAAGCCCGACTCTGCTGCTGGTTGGAAAGTATGTTTCCCTTCCCTGAAATGTGTTTTTCAGATTCCCATCCTTTGTAAATTACACACACTGTGAACATTTGCCCATAGCCATTGGTGATATTTGGATTTTTTCCTCATCTAGTTTACTTTTTAATTCATTAAAAAACAATCCAAAATCACACACAATAAAACAGAAACCAATAAAAAAGAACCCACAATTGTAAAAATGTTGTTTTGTTTTTTAAAATACATCGAAAGTTGATCACCAGCATTATTCTGTGTTACATTTTCTTCACAAAAATCACTTTAAAGAGGGGAAAGGGTCTTAAGAAAGGGAACAGGGGGAAGTGTAGAAAAGCAGAGGGCAGAGACTTCTTTGTGTGTGTGTGTGTGTGTGTGTGTGTGCAGAGAAAAACGGACTCCAGATTCAAACGCCATCCATGTTTGCTGTTAGAGGCCGTCAAGTCAGTTCCGGCTCATCAACTCCGTGCCCAACAGAGCAAATGTTGCCTGGCCCTGGACCATCATTATGCTTGTGGCCACTTGCGCCTATTGCTGCGGCCAGTGTCCATTCACCTCATCGAGGGTCTTCCTCTCTTTGGCTGCCCCTGTATTTTGCAGAGCACCCTGTCCTTCTCCAGGACTTGCTCACATGTCCAAAATATGTGAGATGAGGTCCTCACACCCTCTCATCCAAGGCGCATCTGGCTGCACTTCCGAGACAGATTGCCTGCTTCTCCTGGCCCTCCACGGCTTCTCACGATTCTCTGCCAGCACCCTCATTCAAATGCATGGATTCTTGTCCGGTCTCCCTTATTCAAGGTCCAACGTTCACATGCCTATGAGGCAATCCAAAGTCCCAGGGCTTGGATCAGGCTCGCCTTCATCCTCAAAGTCAGCAGTTGACCTTGAGCATGTAAATTGGAAGGGATTCAGTGTTAACGGGCATTGCCAACAATGTAAGCGCTTCTGTTCTTATCTACTTACTTATGAGAATGACTTTTCTCAGGACTTTGTCTTGCTAAAGAAGGGGACAAAAACCAAAAAGCTAAAGCCACTGTCATCAAGTCAATTCTTTTTTAAAAAA